CTTTATACCACTGCACCTTAATATGGGAGAGGTGTGTCAATGAGAATAGCCATTTCCTTAGAAAACATCCGATCTCCCGTCTTTATAAGGTGTTTTTTATTAATTAACCAAACTGTCTTTTTAAGGAGTCGTGGAAATGCAATGGTTTAGTATTTGGCTGCTAACCAAAGGTCAGTGGTTTGAATTCACCAGCCACTCCATGGGATAAACACCTGGCAATCTGCTCCCATAAAGATTAAGTACAGGAAACCCGATGAGGCAGTATTACTCTGTTATATAGGGTCACTACAAATCAACTCAACGGCACACAACATCTCGCTTTAAATAAATTTAAACAGATTAGTTTGAAAGACATTCATATTAATGAAAAAATAAAATTTCTAACAATGAAAATATTTTAGTTCTTATAAAAATTTATAATTATGTTTTATTTAAAGGTAATATGGTTGAGCTAATAAAAAATATGTATCAAGACAAATACCTTTCTCTCCCTTCTTTTCGAGATCGCATGATCTGATTAATTTCCAAAGCTGTAAGCTTCTTTGCCACACGATATTGCCAGATATAAAAGGCTTCTTTTGAAGCTGCTACCACATGGGTTTTGGTCATTGCAACAAATAGTGGTACTATTAAAAGAACATTAAGACAAGTTAAGTTATAGTTACACGGAATTACAAAATGTTTGTGTTACACAAGACCTCAGTGATTATCAAGTCCAATTCCTCATCCTATAGACAACATACATACAGTCTTAAAATACTGATCTCTAAAACAAAAAAAAAAATCAAAAGCTGGTAGGACCATATACAAAAATTAACTCAAAATGGGCCATAGACCTAAACGTCAGAGCTAAAACTATTCTATATAAAACCCTTGGAAGAAGGCTTAAAATAAAATCTTTGTGAATTTGGGCTAGACAGTGATTTCTTAGATAGGACACCAAAAGCAAAAGTGATAAAAGAAAAATATAAATCAGGCTTCTTGAAATTATAAACATCTGTACTTTAAATAAAACCATCAAAAAGGTGAAAAGACAATCCACAAAACAGGAGAAAATATTTGTAAATCATATATCTGATAATGGACTGTATCTAGAACATATAAAGAACTCTAAGAATTCAATAAAAAGACAACTCAATGAAAACATGGGCAAAGGAAATCTATAAATGTCAATATGTACTTAAAAGGATGGTCAACACCATTAGCCAGCCATCAGTGAAATTAAAATCAAAACCACAATTAGATATTATTGTATATGTTGTTAAGTGCCGTCAAGTCAGTTCTGACCCATAGCGACCCTGTATGGGGTTTCCAAGAAGCAACTGGTGAGCTTGAACTGCTTACCGTGTGGTTCAAATGACTTTTCAGTCCAGTGCATTAACCCAGAGCACCACACCAGGGCTCCACTATTTTATATAGTATAACCCAATCTGGTTATTGTTGTTAAATGCCATCAAGTTGGTATTGACTCATAGTGAATCTGTATAAGGTTTCTAAGGAACAACTGATGGGTTTGAACCACTAACCTTATGGTAGCAGTCTAATGCTTATCCTACACTTCCACACCAGGACTCCATTGTTGTTGTTGTTAAGTGCTGTCAATTTTGTTATGACTCAGTGACCCTGTATAGAATTTCCAAGGAACAGCTGGTGGGCTTGAACTGCTGACCTTGTGTTTTTTCAGTCCAGACTCCATTTGGATGGCTTAAATTGAAAGGATAAACAACAACATGTGTTGGGGATGATGTGGAGAAATCAGAACCTACATACATTGCTGATGGAAGTGTAAAATAGTATAGATATACTGAAAATTTTTATAAGTTCCTCCAAATGCTAATATAGAGTAACTATGATGGTTGGTGGTTATGTGCCATGGAGTCGGTTCTGACTCATAGAG